AGGACACCAAGCAACAGCTGACCATATAACGTCACTGGTATTCGAGTAAACTTCAGGCGCGACAGGCCATGTTCCATCTTTACCTTTCGTACCTGTCTATTGCCAGCATTGGCGTGCTGAAGGAGGGCTGTGGATTCTCCTGGGCGTGTAACGTCACCGGTCATGAGTTCTTTCTGGCTCTTTAAAGCCCCTAATAGGGTATAAGACATCAGCTGAGATATGGCGTCACTGGTATTTGACTTAACCTCAGGCGCGACAGGTCATGTTCTATCTTTACCTTTCGTACCTGTCTATTACAAGTATTTACGTGCTGAATGAAGGCTCTGTCGAGTCTCCTGAGTGTCGATGAATACTCAGGTGAATCGGCGGAGCCTTCATATAGCACGTGAATGCTTGCAGTAGCCAGGTACGAAAAGTAAAGATGGAACATGGCCTGTTGCGCCTGGGGTTAGGTCAAATACCAGTGACGTCGTATCGTCAGCTGATGTCTTTTTCCCTATGGGAGGTTCAAAACAGCCCTTAAAACTCATGACCAGTGACGTTATACACTCAAGAGACTTCACAGTCTTCCTTCAGCACGCCAATCCTGGCAATGGACAGGTACCAAAGGTAAAGGTGGAGCATGGCCTGTCGCGCCTGAAGATGATTCGAATACCAGTGACGTCACATCGTCAGATGATGCTTGATGTCCTTCAGTCAGCCCGATTTAACTCATGATCAGATGCATCACACGCTCAGGTAATTCGGCAGAACATTCATTACCAGTGACGTCATATCGCTGTCTGATGCCTAATGGCCTTAGGTCGGCCCAAAAAGACCCGTAAATACTCATGACCAGTGACGTCACACATTCAGTGGATTACCAGTGACGACATACCGTTAGCTGATGCCTTTTGGCTTTCACTCAGCCAAAAATAGCCTGTAAAAAACTCATGACCACATACTCAGGTGATTGGGCAGAGCCATCATTCAGCTCGCCAATTCCTTAACAGGCGCGAAAGGCAAAGATGGAACATCACCTGTTGCGCCTAATGTTACGTCGAATACCAGTGACGTCATATCGTCAGCTGATGCATTATACCATATAAGAGGTTAAAAAAGCCGATAAAAGCTCTAAACCAGTGACGTTACACACTCAGGAGATTCGACAGAGTCTTCATTCAGCACGCCAATGCTTGTAAAAGACAGGTACGAAAGGTAAAGATGGAACATGGAATGTTGCGCTTGATGTTGAGTGGAATACCGGTGACGTCATATCATCCCGCGATGCTTCACGGAATATGATGCTTTGTCAGATTGGGCGGCCCAAGTGCACCTGTATAAACTCATGACCGGTGATGTCACACACTCAGATGGTTCAGCATCGCCTTGATATAGCACGCGAATGCTTGCAGGAGACAGGTACGAAAGATAAAGATAAAACATGGCCTGTTACGCATGATGTCTAGTCGAAAACCAGTGACGTCATGTGGTCAGCTGATGTGGTATGGCCTATAGTGGGTTCAAAACAGTATAAAAATTAATGGTCAGTGACGTTACACACTGAGGTAGTTCGGCAGAGCCTTCCTTCAGCATGCCAATCCTTGCAATGGACAGGTACCAAAGGTAAAGGTGGAGCATGGCCTGTCGCGCCTGAAGATTACTCGAATACCAGTGACATCACGTCGTCAGTTAATGCCGTATGACCTTTCGTCGGCCAAAAAGAGCCCGTCAAATCTCATGACCAGTGACATCACACACAGTCAAATGCCAGTGACGTCACATCGTTAGTTTATGATTTATGGTCTTCAGTTGGCCCCAAAAAATACATAAAACTCATGACCAGTGGCGTCACACATACACAGATCATTCGGCAGAGCCTCCCTTCAGCACGCCAATACTTGCAGCAGACAGGTACGAAAAGTATAGATAAAGCAATGTCTGATGTTCAGCCAAATATCCGTGACGTCATATCGTCAGCTGATGCCTTACGGCATTCAGCCGGTCCAAAAGAGCCCGTGAAAACCCACGACCATTGACGTCACACAATCAGTCATATAGCAGTGACGTCCTTAGCTGATACCATGTGGTCTTCAGTGGGCCCAAAAACACCGGCGAAACTCATGACCAGTGACGTCACACACCCAGGTGGTTTGGTAGCTTTTATTCAGCACGCCAATGCTTGCAGTGGGCAGGTATGAAGGTAAAAATGAAGCATGGCCTGCTGCGACCAATATTTAGTCGAATATCAGTGACGTCACGCTATCCGATGGTACTCCACGGAACATGATACACCGTGGCCGTGGGGCTTAAGTGCACTCGTCTTAAGTGATAGTTAGTGACATCACACATTTAGGTGATTCGGTCAAACCTTTATTCGGCACGCAAATGCAACAGACAGGTACGAAAGGTAAAGATGGAATGAGGCCTGTTGCGCCTGATGTTGAATCGAATACCAGTGACGGCATATCGTCAGGTGATGCCCTACGGCATTCATCTGACCCGAACGAGCCCTAAAATCTCACGACCAGTGACGTCACATACCCAGTCGAATACCAGTGACATCATATTGCCAGCAAATGCCTTATGGGCTTCAGTCGGCCCGGAAGAACCCCGATCGATGCCAAATTATTTTCAGTGACGTCACGATGTCAACTGACGCCTCACAGCATTTCCCCAGCACGACAGTACATGAACCCTGCAGCCAGCATAACTCTTCCCCCCGTCGGCCGTACAGGTACCCAAGTAAAAAAAGCCTTCCCTGGTCCGTCAAGAGGCGCTGTTGTTTTGGGGGGGGGGGGGGTCGGGTCCCGTGTAAGAGCGTGTCGGTGGCGTTGTTGGACGGTAGGTGGGTTAAACATGTGCTGGTGGGCAGAAACAGACCTGAGCACTGAATCCATCGCAAGGAAAGATTGTGTGTGATATGGTAGAGAGATTCGACGGTCAGGGTGTACTTTCCTACCTAACGTTAGAAAAAATCATTGTACACCATTTGTCGTGTTTAAGGCAGGACATATCGTAAATAATCTCAAAACAGGTAGAATCATGCTCCTACCTTCGAATTTCAATAACTTCGATGGCGGGCCCCCGAGCGCCGCGCGCACCGCACCGCCTGGACTCCCTAGCGCCGTTTCTGCGTTGCCGTTGCGTAAATACAGTATTTCTGCTTACCAAGAACTCTAAAAATGTACGGGACCAAAGTAAACCATTCGTCGTGTTTAAGGCAGGACATATCGTAAATAATCACAAAACAGGTAGATTCATAATCTTACCTTCAATTTTTTTATGATTACGATGGCGAGCTCCCGAGCGCCGCACACACACAGCACCCGCGACACCGGCGCCATTACTGCGCGGGTCACAACATTACTGTGCATCAAGCAGCATCAAAAACCATAAAAATGTACCGGGCCAAGGTAACAGGAATCCATGAAATTTGATCCCCGACGCCGACGGGGCCATGGGTTGCAGGGGGGTTGGGTGGGGAATGTAAAGCAAAATGAGAACATGACAGCTAGAAAAGCTCGCTATATGGCACCTATATATGGCATGGAACATGGACGCCAATGGGATGCTGGGTTGAAGGGGATATGGGATGGGGAGGTTAGGTTAGGTTAGGTTAGGTTAGGTTAGGTTAGGTTAGGTTAGGTTAGGTTAGGTTAGGTTAGGTTAGGTTAGGTTAGGATAGGTTAGTTAGGTTAGGTTAGCTTAGCTTAGCTAAGCTTAGGTTCTGGTCTGTTAGCTTATATCTAAGCTCACAAGGTCTATGAGCTTATATCTAAGTTCAGGTTAGGTTAGGTTAGGTTAGGTTAGGTTAGGTTAGGTTAGGTTAGGTTAGGTTAGGTTAGGTTAGGTTAGGTTAGGTTAGGTTAGGTTAGGTTAGGTTAGGTTGGGTTAGGTTAGGTTAGGTTAGGTCAGGCTAGCTTAGCTTAGCTTAGCTATGGGATGCTGGGTTGAAGGGGATATAGGGTGGGGAGGTTAGGTTAGGTTAGGTTAGGTTAAGCTATAGGTTAGGTTAGGTTAGGTTAGGTTAGTTAGGTTAGGTTAGGTTAGGGTAGGGTAGGTTAGCTTAGCTAAGCTTAGGTTCTGGTCTATTCTCAGGTTAGGTTAGGTTGGGTTAGGTTAGGTCAGGTCAGGCTGGCTTAGCTTAGCTTAGCTTAGGTTCTGGTCTATTCTCAGTTAGGTTAGGTTAGGTCAGGTTAGGTTAGGTTAGGTTAGGTTAGGTTAGGTTAGGAGGTTAGGTTAGGTTAGGTTAGGTTAGGTTAGGCTAGTTTAGGATGTGTTCTGGACTATTCTGGCCTGCGTGTTTCATAAATGTACCTAAACTCGATAAGAAGCGATTTTGGTTGCTTTATTATTGTTACCTTGGTCCCGTACATGTTTTATGGTTCTTGAGAAGCAGAAATATTGTGCTTTCGCAACAATGCAGAAACGGCGCTTGGGAGTCGAGGCGGTGAGATGCGGTGCGTGCGGCGCTCGGGAACTCGCTATCGTATTTATTAAAATTCGAGGGTGGGAGCATGATTCTTTCTGTTTTGAAATTATTTACTATATGTTCCGCCTTAAACACGACGAATAGTTTACCTTGGTCCCGTACGTTTTGTAGAGTTCTTGGCAAGCAGAAATATTGTATTTACGCAACGGCAACGCAGGAACGGCGCTGGGGAGTCCAGGCGGTGCGGTGCGCGCGGCGCTAGGGAGCCCGCCATCGAAGTTATTGAAATTCGAAGGTAGGAGCATGATTCTACCTGTTTTGAGATTATTTACTATTTGTGCCGCCTTAAACACGACGAATGGTGTGCAATGATTTTTTCTAACGTTAGGTAGGAAAGTACAACTACACCGATTCGACTGTTACCAAGCAGTGTCCCAGCAAGCAGTGTCCCTCGTTCAGTCGTGAGTGTGGTGCTCGATGCTGCTTAAGTTGCAGGAACAGCTTGCCTTCATCCACATCGCTCACAGAGAACAATTTTTGCATTTTTTCCAGTGTATATTTGTGGACAACAAAATGTCTTGGGGTTAAAAACACTAAGAAATACCCAAGTTTCAGACACTGATCTGTGCTGCCAGCCCAGATCATCTTGCCCATCTACCTTCAGATGCAAAAGTTTTGATTACTGATCTGCTGTGAAATTTGCCATGAAAGTGCATCGTAGGATACTGACCAAGGCTGATCTAATAGTGCAACTGGTGAGAACTGGCCAAATGTGAGCAGTGTGTAGTTGTAGATGCAACACAGCTTTGTGGGTTAGACAATTATACTGTTGATAAGAAAGATGTGATAGAAACAAGTTCATTGTGTGCAAATGATGAGAAATTGGTTGATGGCCTGATGTTACCCTGATCTTGACTTAACATTGTCAACTAATTATTTTCAATTTCCTGAACTATCCAACAGTTTTTCACTTGTTTTATTTATTTCTATCCTCCCCTTAGATAGCAAGGAGATATATCATCTCAAGGCTGGCATGTAGGCAACATTGGACATGTTATCACTGGCTTATTAGAAGATGAAAACCACTTTGTGGCCATTTTTATGACAGCATGTTGGTCCATAGTATCACATGCAATGGTGAACTGGAAGGTGCATCATTTCAGATGTCAGGTGAATTGAATTCTACAAATATTTCATTTTTGGAATCTGCAGCATGCTGCATCCTGCAGGAAGAATAAGACTTGACAATTCTTGTTGGTGCTCAGATTCCCTTAACACTGGTTATTTGTGACAACAAAGAATACTAGGCCTCTTTTATTTCAGGTGCGCCTTGTGTTCAGCAGTCTGCTCCTTCATAGAGGACCTCAGTCTGTGTGGGGGCATAAAATGATCAGTTGTGCCCAACACATCCACAGCAAGCATTGAGCAAAACCACAAGAACAGACATTGCAGCTCCCAGCACAGTTTGGCTGTTTGTTAGCAGCATATGGTTTATCTGAATTGGACTTGACCCCTAAGACTAGCCATGGTGGCAGTGCTGGTCCAAGGGGCGTCGCGTGGCCTGGGGCTGCAGTTTGTGCGGGCGCTGGCGGCGCGCGACTCCGTGGGCGCCGTGGTGGCCACCTGCCGGCAACCGGAGCAGGCCGATGAGCTGCGTGCTCTGCCCAAGGTGCACGTGCTGCCGTTGGACGTGACGAACGAGGCGAGTGTGCGCGCCGCGGCCGCCCAAGTGAGCCGCTCGGTCGCCGGCCTGGACCTGCTGATCAACTGCAGCGCCATGCTGCACCCGTCTGGCCGCGGCGAGACCAGCCTGCGGGACGTCAGTGCCGAGGTCAGCAGGTGGGTCCGGTCACTGGCCGGGCGGCGGCCTTCCCGCACCGAAGCGCCGCCTCGTGGTACGCCGGTCGATCCTCAGTACCTATACCGATCACACTGATCGGCTTCCCGTCGTTCGACAGAACCGCTGCGCTCTCATAGCTGAGCTTGATGTCACTGAGCGCGGGATTTGCTGTCATAACGTAGTTATAGTGGTTTGCGGGCTAGAACGACAACGTGGGGCAAACATGTGCTCATTGCTGAAAATAACGGATCTTCGTATGCACCATGTAAGTTCGAAAATGCACGTTAAAGGTTGTGAATAATTTGAAGATCATTTTTTCACCGAAAGCTGTGATGTTCAGGTTCCCGGTAACCAGAGGGGTTGAAATGTTTTAAAAAATGTTTTGAAGCGAAATATGGAACTAAAGGATGTAATCGAGTCCGTCGCACGGACCATCCCGAAGAAGACCTACAGGGCAGTAGTCAGACCCTTGGCGAAGTGACAAGTGACCTGTGAATGTAGGTGAGGAAAGCACATTGGGCATGCTCCGCGCTAAACGCCTGCAAAAATGAAGGAATTCACGTTTGTCGAGTAATTTCCTAGGACGCGTTCTATGTGTCTTTTTAATGGAGTGAACATGATTCGGATGCGTAGCCAAGATGGCGTGGTCCCTCTGTGGGTCCCCCCGGGGCAACAGGCGCCGGTATTGAATGAAAGTGCCCCCTCCCAGGCAACAAAATAGGAGCTCTGGTCTAAAAAGGTCCCAAATCTAAAACAGGGCCCCTAAGACACGACGAGGGGCTATTGGTTGGATGCTACACGTAATTGCAAGGCCTGTCACACGTAATCCCCGAGGCTTTTCTGTTCCAATATTTTTAGGGTCTTTTTCGGATCATGCATAACTTGTTAAATGCTTTGTAAACGGATTCGTGAGATACAGCATGTTCTCAAAATTTTGTTCATGAATCGTCCAGTTGTTTCAGTCAATTTTATAAGGCGTTTCATAATTAAGTTGAAGCCAGCAAGCCACCGAAAATTGTGGTCTCTGTGAACATGACTATGCACACCTCTGTCCCTATTATTACCCGTTTCAATGGCGTTGAACAGTAAGGAATCAAGTCCATGCCTCATCAGTACACCGCAGATCCAGTACACTTCTTCCCATGCTTACATCGGTGAGGTAATGCCTGCCACACGTTACAATAGGCTTCCAGAATACCGTGCCAGAAACGTGGTGCAATGCCTGGCAGATTGATGTCATGATGCTGCTTGCGCATCAAAAAGTAAACAACCGAAGATAAAGCTGCTTTAGAAATGGGAACGTTGGAATGGAAAATGCCAATGAGTGGAGATCATGCTAAGAAGTGTACTGCAGGTCTGAAAACATCCATTTTTGGGAATGTCTTCCGTGTTCAAAGTTTTCCAGGATAGCCATCCGTCACCTACTTAAGCTATAAGTGTGGGCCTTCGTCCGTCGTGAGGTCAGGTCATGTCTAAAAGTGTGTGCCCCCGGCTGTCGTCAGGTGTTAATGTGTCCTGGGAACGTCTGTATGGTGTTTGGCCTTCAGCCATGTATGTGTCACAACCTGCTGGTGACGAGTCCATTTCTCTACGAACTGAGGTAGCCGGGAAGGACGGGTTCTAACGGATTATTCGCGGTTAACGGGCCTTTCGCCTCCCCCATTACTGCGTACGTGATGCTGATGGCTTGTCTCAATCCTACCGTAAAACTACGACCTGTCGTCGTCCCAGGTGGCGTCTGCATTGTCATCCCAGGTCATCGTTCCAGGTGGCGTCTGCATCGTCCTTACGTTATTTTGTTGAAATGTGTTGAAAGACACACGAGCACTTTGGAAAAGCCCCAAACATTGGCATGGGTGAAGGCAAGTCAAACCAAATGCTTAAAATCTGAGAGTGCAGCATTAGTCACATTCGTTGGTCTGGTACGCACAAAATGTTGCACCCCCCGTGGCATCGTTTCCATTGTTGGCGTGGATGAGTGCCAATTTTTTTGCACCCCGGAATTGGCTGATCCATTTATATTTCTTCTATTGCTTACCATGTCTGTCGGTTATTTTTGTGAGATGATCCGAGTCAATTGGTTTTTCAATGATGGGGAGACGGCCGGCCTATTGAGTCAGTCGTTCTTCATACACAGTGTCAAAAGGCACCAGGTAAAGTTCAGAATTATTAGAAAGTTGTGTTCATCTTACTGGTTATATATAAGTTGTACCCGTGAACATGATGCTTGTTTGCCAAACGGATATGTTTAGTTATACTTGTTTGTTAGTTAGTTAGCTATGCGTATACGTTATGCTCGTTGCATATGTTTTCGTGGCCGCATGAGCTGCAACACGTGCAACACAATTTGATCACTTTGCTGCCCGCCAAGGCCTTGCATCCTCGATCCACAACTTGGCCAAAGGTACGCGGGCTTAGGCCAGTCAAATATGCTAGATCAGAAAGACTCCTTCGTACTCAAGCCATAGAATGCGATCCTGGGATGAGATCCACGCGCTTTGGCTCTCTGGTCCTCAGGATCCAAGGTATGTCAAAATTTTGATGATGCTAATGCGTGGATGGGTATCCTTTCCTAATTGAATTAAGGGGCTTTCCATGATATGGGTCCTTTTCTTTAGGTTAATAACCGATTAATGGGATCAAAAACATCTTAGCGGGTTTGCCCTTATTTGCAAATGATTTTAGATACAGATGATCAAATGTAAATGATCTTTTTTGAGTGAATGATGAATGATGCAAATGATCAATACTGATATCCTATTTCAGTTAAGTACCTCCGCAACCAGCGGGCCTTCGTTGTACGGAAACATGCAAATTGACGGCGCAGGTAGATTGTGGTGTCGTACTTTATCTCTTACATTGTGCCGCGAACTGACCCGTCAACTGCTGCCGCACTCTGTATGCCACCGGCTAATAATCGTGCCTTATTGCTTTCGTGCTTGCAGATATTTAGCTTCAGTGCATTGAGAAGTCCGTGCCAAGCATAGGGCCGAATCCGGACGGCAGATGTGATGTGTTCAGCGAAGCGACGTAACGCCGAGCGATAGCGGCAGCCTAGCTCAGCGACTTGGCAGCGTCGTTACGTATGTGGCCGATGGTTCGCAGGGATTAGAGAAGACCTTCATGACGAACACTTTCGGCCCCCTGCTGGTGGCAAAGCACTTCGCGCCGCTGCTACAAAAAGGGTCGGGTGCCCTCGGCGTTCAGTCAACGGACCCGAAACAGAAGCACGCATCCATATTAGTGAATATGACAGCCAAGGTCGGATCAATTGGTGGTGAGTCGCGCTGGTGACCAATCTTGTCTTTGAAGTGAACTTAGCCAAAGTGGAATCATTCCAATAGCAGTGTTCCTTGCAAGTTAAAACAACGCGGCACATGTTGCATGGCTTGAGTGAACGCAGCTTTCTGTAACGATCCTGCAAGATTGGCCCGGTTTTCCCCGTAAGCACTGTGTGTGATCCGGCGTATGGTCTGCCGATTTTCGCACTCTGGCGGGATTTTTGTCTGGTATATAGGTGTGGTAGACCGTACCAGATCGATTGGTCTGCCGTACTTGGCTTTCTTTACCATTTTTGCAACACTATTGAAACATCTAGCCTGATCGCAAGTGCGCACATTTTAAAGGTAAGCAAGGCTGTGGTCTTTAACCAAGGGGACTTCCAATTAAAGTTCATCTCTTGCCACAGGAGGAACGTTTTTCAGGTGTCTTCGGCATGTCAAGGTATAAATAGCATAGAAAGCATTATCACCACGCAGGTCGCAAATCGTTTTGATGGATCCGTAGCTTATGGCTCGAGCGTAAGTCAACGAGTATCTTGAGTCTGGTGAGATTTTACTGCACGGTTTACCAGCTGTTAGTCATGAGACTCCAGACTAGTTGGATCACCTGTCAAGCTAATAGAAAATTGGTCTTTCGCTGGATTTGTGTGCGGAAAGAACACGGACGATATTTGGAGCATTTCTGGAATGAGCCAGGCTTTCAATTTCCAGGAATCTGGTGCAGCCGCCATGTTTACCATTACTGCTCTTAAAAGTCTTACATACCACCTCATATCATATCACAGGAAAACATGGACGGATGCAGCCCAGGCTTCGATCACGTCCTTATGTCCTGACGACTCCTGAAGTCCTGACGCCATGCGGAAGTTCCGACGGCTCCTGAAGTCCTCACGACGTCTTTGACGCTGGGAAGCTCTCGAGCGACGGCTAGTCCCAGGCATCGCAAAGGGTGTTTCGGTAACGGCCAAAGCTGGTGGTTTCGCTGTATAATGGTCACACGTTTATTGCAGCGGTACACCATACTTGCTAACGACGTTGTCGCCGGCTGCAGACGCTTCGATGGCAAATTCCAGGCCGCCGCTCCGCCAAACACAAGCCACCAATCGC